CCCTTAGCATTTTACTTATGATGTGTCTTGGTGTGGTCCTCTTTGGGTTCCTCTTATTTGGAGTTCTCTGTGCGTCCTGGACTTGTAAGTCTATTTCTTTCACCAGGTAGGGGAAGTTTTCTATCATTATTTCTTCAAATAGGTTTTCAATATCTTGCTCTCTCTCTTCTTCTGGCACGCCCATAATTTGGATGTTGGTATGCTTGAAGTTGTCCCAGAGGCTCCTTACACTATCTTTATATTTTTGGATTCTTTTTTCTGTTGTTTGGGTGTTTTTTGCCTCCTCATATTTCAACTCATTGACTTGATTCTCGGGACCTCTTGTCTACTGTTGAATCCCTGTATATTATGCTTTAGTTCAGTCAGTGTATGCTTAATTTCTGACTGGTTCTTTTCCATTTTTTTGGCATTCTCACTAAGATCTTTGAAAGTCTCACTAAGTCCCTTGGAGGTTTCTACAAGATTCTTGAGTAACCTTGTAACTGTGATTTTGAACTCTATATCCAGTAGTTTGCTTTCTTCCATTTCTTTCATTTGTGACATGTTACTTTGTCTCCACACTTTAGCTACTTCCTTGTGTTTGTTTCTATGTACTGGATAGCTGCTAAGTCTCCTTGAGTTGATAGAATGGCCTTGTGTAGTAGGTGTCCTATAGGGCCCTGTGGCCCAGCTTTCCCAATCACCTGAGGTGGACACTCTATGTACACCCCTTTGTGGGCTGTGTGCACAGTCTTGTTGTAGTTGAGCCTTGATTGCTGATAGTGTCACTGGGAGGAATTGACCTCTGGCCAGTTGGCTGTGGGCACCAGCTACGACTACAGTGGGAGAGCTGCTGTGCAGCAGACACCCTTATGAAGCAGGACTTGCTTCAGTGGGGCTTTGGTGCTCACTGAGTCTTCCCCTTAAGTGTTTTGCTTATGGATGTGTAGAGTTTTAATCTGGTATGGTCTCACACTGACCACTGGGTACACTGGCTCTTGGGTCTCCAGAGAGGTGCAAAGTCAGCCACTGCCTGGGACCATCCAGCAAGAGCTACAGAAAGATCTGCATATTCATTCTCTTTGTATTAGGTTTGGAAGTGCCCAGAGGAGGCCCAGCTGTGAAGCAAAGCAGCCTGGTGCTGGTGCTGGGTCTTGGGCCTTTTAATAGATTTGGGGCTCCCCAACCCAGCTGCAGCTTGTTTAATAAGTTTTTAGCCTGATAAAGGACAGGGGATTCATATTCAAAAGCTGCTGTGCATAGCTTGGATGGGGTTGTAAATTGGGTGGGGCAGGTCTCAGGGAATGACCAGAGCAGAGCAAATAGAAATGGATGCCAGTCAGTCCTGCAACTGGGGAGGTCCCTGCACGGGAACAAGACTGCTGCGAGCACCTCCGTCTGGAAGAAAGCCGCCCCAGAGTTCCTGCCCTGATGCCAGACAGTCCAGTTTCTCCTCCTATGTGTCTGGGTCCCCCAGAGCCTCACCCAGCACTGGAGCTCAGAGGAAGTGGGAGCTTGTAATTTCAATTTGTGGTGCTGGCCTTTTAAGAGGAGCAGCTGGGTCTCCAGCAGCCTGTGTCACTCAGCTCCAATCTGCACTGGTTTTTATAGCCCATAGTTCTTACTGCCTGTAGGGACTTCTTTTCCCAGCTCTGGGACTCTGGGCTGGGCATCTGGTGTGGCGCTGGGACCCCATGCTCCTCTGGGTGGCCTCTGCAGAGGCAATTTCCCTCCCGATTGAAAAAGCAGCACATGTGGGTATCAGTCCAGCCCCTTCCATGCCTCTGCACTTCCTACCAGTCTCAATGTGCTTTCTTCTTTACTTCTCTAGTTGTAGTACTTCCATTTGGCCAGCTTTCTGGCAGTTATGGATGATGGTTGTTCTGTATTTTAGTTGTAATTTTGATGTGGTTGTGGGAGGCAGCGAGTACAGGCATTTGCCTACGCTGACATCTTGGTTCTCCCCCAGCATACTGTTTTCAACTGCAATTCTTGGCAATTTGCTTTATCAACCTGTGATTTAGTAACTAAAGGTTACAAACTTCGAATTACGGTGGAATCTGAAACAAGTGTCAGTGTTGCAGGACTAAGCTTATTCAAATCTAGAAAATAAATTATGAAGTTTTGATGTATAGACAAATAAGCGTGCCTCTTTGGAAACAAGCCTTCCCATCACAGCACTCTTGCCAGCACTCTGTGATTCTCATACCACCACTTTCCTCCTGTCCAGCAGCTCTAATCAGTCTATTAGGTTTGTTGAGGCTATTTTACTTATCGGTAGGATCCTCTTCTCCCCTACACCAGACACAAAAGCTTAAGCTATAGTAGATAAACAATGGGTATTTGATTAGAGGAAAATGATTTACTAACATAAATATATCTGATTAAGGAAAATATTCTATAATCTTACCAAAGAGAATGATTGTGGAATTGGTGAACAACTTTCTCTTGCACACAGTAAATTTTTCACACTGTTTTTCAGTGACTTTACTGGTCTTTCCACTCCATATTTACTGTTGAAGGATTCAGGTGAGGAAGTTTTTGTACTAGATGATATGGATTTTGTTATACAGTCATGATCCTGAGTAAAATCCCTTCCTGTTATTTTTTCTGTGCCTATATTTCCTCACAAGACACAAATAAAAGAGAGATGGCAGTTTTTAATGATGTCTGTTTTAGAACAGCATGATTAATTTAAGTTCTAAAGAATATATAATTTATCAAATTCTCAAGTCTTAGCTGTATTTAAAAAGGGTAAACTTCCACTAAATCAAGACCAAATTATGTTTAAAATATTATATAAGACTTTGAAAAATATTAAATGGGTCCATTTAAAATGTAATTGTAACCATAAGAATAGTCCAAATATTTCTAAACAAAATTATCTATAGTATAAGCTGCACTACTATAATGAGCAACCAGAGTATTTGACATCAGTACTATTATATATAAGTCACAGAATTTTATGGTTGGAAAGACTTGGTAAATCATTTGGCTTAAAGCCTTCATATATATATACTAGAGGCCCAGGGCATGAATTCGTGCACGGATTGGGTCCGGCCAGGGGGAGGGGCCACAGGCAGTTGGCTGGCTGGCCCTGCCCCTGGTTGAACTCCAGGTTGAGGGGACAATTTGCATATTAGCCTTTTATTACATAGGATGAGGAAATTCATGGCTAAAATAAATCAATATAAGTGAATTCTCAGTTTTCAGAACAAATTAGGGCATGTGCATCTGTCTTCATGAGTATATGCTTATCTGACAGCATTCCCAAGCATTATGAAAATATTCTAGAAAAGAACAAAATAGTCACTTTAGAGGAAGTGTATATGTTAACTGATGTAAGTCTTGAATTTTAACTGAAATTATAGACATTTAGAAATGCTTAAAACACCCTTTAAAGAAACTGAAAGTATAAAAAGTGCAAATATGAACAACTTCAGTGTCATAGTAACATTGATCCCAAGTCTATTTATACTTAGCAAAGACCAAGTTCTGAGCATTAACTAGTTTCAAAATAAAATTTTGACTACCTATAATCTTAATACACCTCTCAAAATTAGTCTTCAAATTATATTTTCATATAATTAGTTATAAGGTTTTTAAATATTCAACTAAAGAAAGAAGATACTGACATCTCATTACTTCTATAGAGGGTGAACTCCCAGGTAAAGACACAGAAGATAAGTCAAGGCTGTTGTCTCTTATAGTAGTACTTTTTAGGAGAGATGAGTTTGCCCATTCTTTTGATATATCCTTTTGTGTTTCCGCAGAGCAGACATTCTGCTGTTTCTTTGGCAGCTTCATGGTTTTGCTTCTGGAATGGATATTCTCCTCCTAAATGTATTAATAACTTTCAAATTATATTGTAATATAAGTAATTTAAATTACATTGAAATATTTATGAAATGTCTTATATTACTACATATGAGCATAGCAGGGGCTGCAACATGAATAGTGGAAGACTCTAATACCCCCAAAGACATATGGGAAATTCACCAGAAATATAATATATACACTACTAGAGGCCCAGTGCACGAAATTCATGTTGGGAGTGGGGGTCATCCCTCAGCCCAGCCTGCACCCTCTCCAATCTGGGATGCTTCGGGGGATGTCTGACTGCCTCTCGCAATCCGGGACCACTGGCTCCTAACCATTCGCCTGCCTGCCTGCCTCATCATCCCTAACCACCTCTGCCTGCCTTCCTGATCACCCCTAACTGCTCCCCTACTGACCTGATCACCCCTAACTGCTCCCCTGCTGGCCTGATTGCCCCTAATTGCCTCTGCCTTGCTCCACACCCAGGACTCAGGATTCCCTCCTCCAGCCAGTTGCAGACACCCAAGACCCGGGCTTCCCTCCTTCTGGCCAGCCACAGGCACCCAGGACCTGGGCCGGCTTCACCCAGGCCAGCCAAAGCTGCAGAGGACCATGGGTTGGCAGCTTCACCCAGGCCACAGCTGCAGGTGCCCAGGACCGTGGTGTGGGTGCTTGTCCCTCTCCTGGGCCACAGCTGCAGGCACTGGCGCCCAGGACCATGGGGCAGGCGGCTTGTCCTTCTCCCGGGCTGCAGCCTGGCTGGTCCCCATTCCTCTCTCCCAGTGTTGAGTGTTGAGCAGTTACAGTGTGATGGCATGAGGGCGTGAGGACCATTTGCATATTAGCTCTTTATTATATAGGATAGCACTGCAGTTATGTGGTTTGAAATCATCTTGGAAATTTAAGGTGTGCTTTTGTCTATGTTAATAGAGAAAAGTTAAAACAATTTCA